CTCTTGCCCTGCTCCTTCTCTGACCTGCGTTCACCCTGACCCACAAAATCCTGTTCTACAGTGGATCTCTAGCTTAACAGGACTGCACAACTACCAAGCTCTATGCACCTTGACAGTTCGCTCACACCAGTTCCACTGCATCTCTCCAGCACTTTGAATTGTTATTGATCCTTTCTACTTTTTTGGCTCTTAGGAGGCCAAGCCATGGACCCACAATGGACCAAGACGCCATTGTGCTAGGGGCTGTATCAGTGTAGAACAAAAGGCCAGCTTCTGCCCCAAAGAGGCTGCAATCTAAGACAGGCCTTGAACTGGAAGCATTGTTTCCAACACAGGCTTGATAGAGGACATTGGTGTAACCCTGTTAATCCTTGGTGCCTTAGCGGGGCTTTTGTTTAGTGTTGGTATGAAGCCTAAAGCTATGTGGCATTTGCATGATAGCATGAAATCACAACAGTGTGGCATGCATGAAAGTTGGCCATATGCAAGTCAGTTGAGCGGGGTAAAGAAAAGGCTGATCATGTCCAAGGCGAAAATGGTCCTATCTTATAGTGTCCTTGAGCAGAATGTTTACAAAATGCTCATTAAGGAAGAGGGGGATTGTGAGATAGCAACAGAAATCTGGTGCACAGCTTACACTACAAGAGATAAGAGAGGCAAGGCTACCATAGGCGAAAGCATGTTATATCCAATTACTGAGACCTGGTTTTGGGGAGGAGGGGGCTGAGAGGGAGTGAGAAAGGGAGCGAGGGAGAGAGAGAACTGATCACAAGCTTCAGGCAAGGGCTTCCAAACTTGTCATCTCTCTGTGACACAAGCTGCATACAGTCCAGAAGATAAAATAGCCACTTAGCCCACACGAGAGTTAAACCTTGTTGAGTCTGGTTGGAGACTAGAGAGAAGTAATGGATTCTGTTGCCCTTCCACTGTGGGCAGCCCTCTACTTCTTGGTTCACCTGGCAGCTTGCAGTCCCATCATGAGCCTGGAGCAGTCTTCCCTGGAGGAAGATGTCCCCCTCTTCGATGAGGTTCTTTCAGAGCAGGACGGCGTTGATTTCAGCGCATTGCTTCAGAACATGAAAAATGAGTTCCTGAAGACACTGAACCTCTCTGATATTCCGCTGCATGACACTGCTAAGGTGGACCCTCCAGAGTACATGTTAGAGCTGTACAACAGGTTCGCCACTGACAGTACCTCAATGCCATCAGCAAATATTATTAGAAGCTTCAAGAATGAAGGTAAGATCTGTGCTCCTCTCAGTGAATTAGCTCTAAGCAAACTTTGCTTATAACCAGCCAGGCATGCCTTTACAGTGCATGGAGCATGAAGGCTGCATTGGTGCAAAAGGACTTACCAGTGATTTGGAAGAGAGGCCATTGGGGACAGGAAACTAACCTGCCATGTGCCTGTTCTACTCAGATCCCATTCCCATGATGTATCCTTTTCCCCTATCCTTTGCCTGTGTGTGCCGTCCAGATGTTAAGTATTTTCAGGCAAGAACAATGCCTCCTTTTATATTTGTACAGCATCTAGCAGCTACTGAATGCATAAACGAAATAGATTATCATCATCCCAGGAACCTAAGTACCATTTCCATACCACCTATTCAGCCATCAGATTTTCTTGTCCATTCAGTTAATGGAAAAAAATGTCTTCTACAACCCACGCACTAGTAAAAACCTTTATCCTTTGGGAAGTATTTGGTCTTCATACATCTTTAACCAGTTAATTAAGCATGGATTTTTACTATTGTTATTTCTCTATTCACTTAAACTTGCTACTGAACTTGTTTGTATTTTGCAAAATTCTCATGCTTTGGTGTGTGAAATAAGGTCAACACAATTTATAGGAATATATACAGCTAGCAGCTTTAGCTTTGCTAAAGTTCACGGAATCATTTTAAATGGATAAAGTATTTTTTCAAATTTTTTAACCAAAAACCCTCATGAAGTCCTGGGTTTAGAAGATTATGAGTATTGTGGAATTCAGCATTCCCTAATGAGGGAAAAGTATTGCTCACATATGAGTAGTCCTAGTTCATAGTGTGTATGTAAGTATGCATGAGCAACCTGCCTTGCAGTTATATACTCAAAATGTTTTTCAGCAAATCATGGATTATGTTTAAAAATATAAGCAAGTTGATATATCTTTTTTCTGATCAATTCAGCTTTATGGGGGAGAATTCCAATAAAAATGGATCATCCCCCATACTAATGAAGTGCACTACTGTGCAACAGCAAATACTTTGTAAGAGATGTAGATGCAGCCACACAGCCAGATGCTAGTAACTGAATCCAGGCTAGTCATGAGGTATGCTATACTTCATTCAGGCATGTGCATTCTTATGCAGCAAGATGTTTTTTGTGTGAAGGGACCCTGCCTTCCAGAATCAGATCTAATTTAATTGTGCAGTTCTTCAGCTTGGCAATTACATTTAAGGGAGGGCTGGAATGCAAATCACTAACATTCACTGGTGAACACTACTCAGACAAGCCTCCCAATGGAAATTGATGGGTTTTCTTGTAAGAATAACTGCTCATCGTTGTAAATTAAAAAATCACAATCTGGTCCTGAAGAAATACCAGATAATGATTGTTCATTTCTGACTCTTGCAAATTTAAGGTGAAAAAGTAATAATTAATGTAATTTTGGGCAGTCCAATACAGCAGTGGAAAGAGCACTGGCATGGCTTATTGGTATACAGCTGAAGTAATTTAACAGACAACAATGTAATAATTCCAGATTTACATCATTACAAATGATCTTGGAGTATGATCCTTTAATGTTAGTCAGTGTAGCAATGCGCAACTCAATTAATTATGGAAATGAGGCAGCAATCTCAAATAACATTTTCATTGTCAGATACGTTTTGTGATAGCTATGTAAACTTGTCGTAACTTTTGGCCTTCTCAGAAGGTTTTTGTCCTTCTTATCCAGAACTATGAGCACAGGTTGAGACACTCCTATGCTAATGCAAATGCCCTTTTCTATACACTCAGGGTTTAGACAGATTCTTGTAGTTGTCTCCTTTACATGTCTAGAACATCTAATGAAAACTAAATCTGTAGTTACGTTGGTAAGAGATCACACTATCCAATCCTTATATTCACCTACTTATAATAATGAAAGCTGCTGATAAGCACAGTTTCCTTGTTATCTATTAAACCCAATAAATCAGTTATTAATTCAATTATTAGCATAATTCCATGACGGTATTAATTAAGTTTGTGTGTCTGGGTGCATTTGTTTATCAGGAGAAATCTGTACCCCATTACAGATATGACTGTACTATGGCCAGTGCTTAAAAGCTGTAAGAATATTTCTGTGGTAAATTCTCTTGCCAGTGTATCTAGTAGCATTGAGAAGGAAATTTGGCCCTTTCAGAGGTTTTTTCTCAGTCTGTAGGGCAAATGCCTATCCTGACTTCCTTATAAAGACATTAATTCCTTTGTCTGTGAATTATTCACTCATTTTCCCACAAGGGTGTGACCCACCCCTTTTGATGAATTATTCATGCATATCTTTTATGTGGTCAGCTGAGATTTCTCTAGCCCAGAGACTGCAGGTATCCCCATGACAGTAGGTTTGTTTTCTAGCATCCTGCCTGTTGGGAATCAGCAAGGCCATTCTAGTTCTGAAACCACTGGTTTCAGGATGGCTGATAATGCTGAGCCCAAATCCAAGAACCCAATCCTGGAAATCTTGAACTATGAAATCAGGCCACTACAAAAAAACTGGGGTCCCACTGATGTCAAGAGACCTACTCATTGCTTCAAGTTCACCATTTGTTCAAGTGCTTGTCTATATCAGGGTAAATATATCAGCTTTGCCAGATGGAGTACATACAAATCTCAGAGCTATAGAAATCAGAGATGGAAAAATGTCTAGATGCCAATACCATCCATCCCCCCAGTCCTTGCAGGGATGTCTTCTAATCTCCTAATCTGGCTTCAGAGTTATAACTTTGATGGAGAAATGCCGCATTACATACAGAACATTTTACTAAATGGCCTATATCTATGAAGGAATGGTGCTATAGAAACATGTGATGAAGACAGAATAGAGAAATGGATAACATGTTTGCTGAATGTTTTGTAAATTAATAATATCAAAAGCTTCTGAATAAATACAGATATTTTAGCTGACTTGGTGAAAGCCCAGTGTATTCAATAGCAATATTGCTATTTGTTAGGTTTGGAATCAGGCCACAGCTTCTTCCTACTCTAAAATACATTTTTTCATTCCTCGTAATATGTCTTCATCTTTGGTACTTGCTCCCTTAAGACACTGTCAGAGGTTTGAGAAATTTGTTTCAGGAAATTCCAGCAATGCCTCATCATAAGAAACAGTTGCTCAGTGGTGTAGTTTTCACCACATTGTATAAAGTCTCCAGTAACTGTCTGAATTCACAGTATACTCTAGAACTGTGATAAAGTAAAGATAAAAAACTGATAGTATCGAAAGAAGATTGTGCTATTAATGTGGGAAGCATGTACCCATTCCACGCAGCCATAGATCCTGTGTTAATAAAAAGATACAATTCAACCTGCTTTTGCTGCATAAACAGCTTGTGAAACATTCTGCCTATCTCCAGTCCCTCATTCATTTTCAGCTGGATCAAGACTCTTCAATGCCTGCAGTATAAGTGTTGCCTAATGTTGTTATCCTCTTGTTAAGTAGCTGTTATATTTCACCCTAAAATGCCTTCCTTTCAGTGCTGGGTAAGTGAGGCCAATATATTTATAGTTTGTATAACCTGTAAGTGCATATCATAAAGGACATTGGTAACTATATTGGTGGAAATGAGATCTGAGAAGCTAAGTGCATTAGCATTATCCTGGTCTGAGCCTGCTTCCTTGATCCAGTACAAACCACGTGCTTCTTTGATGATCTGATTATAATTTTGTTTGAAAATCAATTATCATTTTCCTGTAACCATTCACAGTGAAACCTAGAAACATAAGGCATGAAAAGACTGGGTCGTGTGTGTGTACTGATGGAAACATTCCAAAGTGTTTATAAGGATTTCTCTCATTTCCAGACTTGACTTCCCAACCCACTGCTGTTACTGGAATCCGAAAATACCCTCTTCTATTCAATGTATCCATCCCTCACCATGAAGACATCACCATGGCAGAGCTGAGACTCTACACACTGGTGGAACGAGACAGAATGCTTTATGATGGGTTGGATAGGAAGGTCACCATTTTTGAAGTACTGGAGGATGACCATGTGGGAAGAGAAGGAGAGGAGAGAAAAATAGTGGTGCTAGCATCCAGGCAGATTTATGGCACTGACAGTGAATGGGAAACATTTGAAATCACAGATGCCATCAGGCACTGGCGTAGGTTGGAGCTGACCACTCACAGGCTAGAGGTGCAAATAGAGAGCAGAGAAGGGGAGGAGCAAAATGGAGAGGGGAAACTCGATATCGACATCAACTCTGAGGCCAAGCATATGCCATTGTTGATTGTGTTCTCAAATGACCAAAGCAACGACAAAAAAGAGGAGAAGCAGGAACTCAGTGAAATGATAGACCATGAGCAGCTGCTGGACTTGGAGACTCTGGGAGCGGGCAGCTCCCACGACAGACCAGGAGAAGAAGCACTTCTCCAAATGCGATCCAACATCATTTATGATTCTACTGCCAGGATCCGGAGGAACGCCAAGGGCAACTATTGCAAAAGGACTCCACTCTATATAGACTTCAAGGAGATTGGATGGGATTCCTGGATAATTGCCCCGACAGGCTATGAAGCTTACGAATGTCGCGGAGTATGCTCCTACCCTTTAACAGAACATGTCACACCAACGAAACACGCCATTGTCCAGACATTGGTTCACCTGAAGAATCCCCAGAAAGCTTCCAAAGCCTGCTGCGTGCCTACCAAACTTGATCCTATCTCCATCCTCTACTTAGATGCAGGGGTGGTTACTTACAAGTTCAAATATGAGGGTATGGTCGTGTCAGAGTGTGGCTGCAGATAGTAGAAGGAAATGCAAAGTCAGTGGGTGCACGAGGGGAGTATTTAATAATTCAAACTGTAAATTTGTACATTTTTGGATTTCCTATTTAATAAGGTTATTTAATGAGGTGTGTACAGATAATTCTATGTTTCATGTCATAGGGAATGGGCAGGTCATATGACTATAGGGAAATGTATATTTTGCTCCAGTGTTTGCTTCTTCTCACTGTTTAACTTGTCCAAATTATGAGAAGCTTCCTTTATAAACAAATTGAAGAACAAAAACCAAATCTTTGGGTATGGAGGATTTTTAGGTATGGCAAGGTGCCATACTATAATGCTTGAGCTTTGTTTCTTTAAAAATGTTTCTGTCCTGTGATCTAGGACAGTATGTAGCCTTTGCATGGACTGAATTGGATAAAATAATGTGGTATGATACATCTATTATATTATAATATTTTCTGATAGATGCTTTCCCATCCTTCCTTCATCCACTGAGTTAGTATTTTTATTCTCAGAATATTCCTCTGGCTTTGTGTCACAACTTCTGATTTTCATAGACAAAAATTTCCTACTGATGTGCTTGGAATCAGTTATAACATTTTAAAATAACTACATTTACACAATTTATAATCAGTGAAATTGCAAGCACAGTGTAATTACACTCACTTTAGGTGTTTGGATTGAATAATAAGCTAAATATTATGAAAATATGCAAAACAAAAAACAAAAAAATGTGCAAACCAGAATGTTTCCAAAGGCTGAAAATTATGGGCGAAATTTTCAAAAGTGACTAAGCTTAGAGCTTATCACTTACCTGACAAAGAGACCAATGTCCAGATCCAACAAGTTATCTGGGTGGTTAACTGATATTTTAGATGCTTAACTCCTGTTGTTTTCAATAGAAGTTAAGCACCTTTGTGACTCTTGAGTTTTGGGAACATGAAGGCTGGATTTTCGAAGTCATTCAGGTTTCCAAGGATGCAGACAGGTGTCTACTAAGATTTTCAAATGCACCAAAGTTAAGTAACCTGCTCAACTGAAACCTAACCTCATCAGACACTTGAAAACCCCCATAAGTCTCTTAAGTGACAATAGGTGCATCCAGACGGCTTTGCACATGTGGATTGTGGAGCTGCAGATCCATCTAGGGTGCTGCAAACTACATGCGCTACCCATGCAGGTGTTTGCTGCATTGCTAATTTGCAGCACAGGAGGGGTTTTTTGCTGCCAAGAGACTGAGTGAAGTTAGGTTCCTTAAGTCATTTGGATACTTTGCTCTTTAAGAAGTATCTGTACAAGCCTGGATTTACAAACAAAAGTCATTTTAACGGGATGGTTTTACCACTATCCAAAGACCAGATGGAAACTTCCCTATTTCCTACCTTCCTCACTCAAATAATATGCCCATTTGCAATGTTAGGCAGGTCCATTGCTCTGACAAGCAGCCCCTTTGCCAACATGTGAGGTAAGAAATGTTCCTACTGTTTGTTTATTCTGGAAGTACGTTGTACATAACAATCCTGGCTTTGGAAATACAATACATTTGGCGCATGTTATCTATTAAGGGCCAGAATTTCAGCTAGGGTAAATCAACATCATAACTCTGTTGAAGTCCTTGAAGACATGGATTCACACCAGCTGAAAATCTGCCTCGCCGGTGTCTGTTTTATACATCATGAAATTATGTAAGGCAAAGAAAAAGGCAGTGTACCAGTGCGCTTACTCTATGTAGACCAAGGTAGAAAAGAAAAGCACTCTCTCTACCTTAGTTACAGAGAGGCTCTTTCCTTTATGTATGTGTTGAAGTTGTCAATTCATAAAGATATTGCTACCCGCCCCCCACTTAAACTATATATGATGGAGTCACATGCCATGTTTCCGCCACTCTTCTGCAACAAATCGTACTGATAAGAAGGTGTCAGAGCTGAGAAACAATAGACCCGTCACTTTATTTATACTAAGCTGCAAATTTGTCAGATTCTTGGGAAAGTGTAAGTGACGTTGACTCTTCCAGCCCCAACCGGAGCCTACTGTACTGTCCCTGCATCTGTTTTACTCTTTTAAGGCAAAGTTATCCTTACTGGAAGTGATAAGAGACCTGTCTTTGAAAGAACTGACTCTGACACTTCGTGGGAATGAACTTAAAAGACTATCAGTTGAAGCCAGTTTCACCTAGGTTCACGCAAATCCTTCTATGCTTCCCGTAATTTATTGATCTATTTATTGATGTCCACCTTTGTAATATACTGTAGAATACAAATGCTTGTATGTAATCCCACTCTGATAAAAATCTCATACTGAACAGATTTTATGTAGGATCATTCTAAAAGAATCTGCTGCAAATGCTGTGGTTTTAGCCTTAGAGATCTTTCTAATTACAGAATATGGACATAGCAATGATGTGCATCTTGGAGCACATATGGTCTTTCCCACCATATAACAACTCTTACAAGGAGTAGAATCCCTTTATGTGCTCTAGTTAACTAGTTTATTACAGAGAAGGGCAGTCTCAACGCAGGCTGTGCTTCCAGATAGTGGTCTACATCAATGAACTACATGGATTTACATCATCTGAGGATCTGGTCTAACAAGTAGGCTGATGGGCCATATTACCATCTGGGCATTGCCACTGTAGAGCTTTCACCTTTCAGTTTTCACCTTGGATAAATGGCAGTTTCAAAGAAGGTGAATAGCACATTTACCAGACTGCAAAGGGTAAGGGGCAACCTCTCAGTTCCTTTCAGTCACACTATATGAATGCATGTGGCATGCCCAAAGTATCAGCAATTCACATAAAGGCATTTACCCATAAAAATCCTTCACCATGTTAGAACAATATCAGTTAGGTTTGTGATAAGCCATCTTTTATCTCTTTTCCACAGCTGTGCACAGTGTAATGACCTCGTAAACGGTATTTGCAAACTTTTCCTCTACTGAACAGTGTCAGAATTACTCAACTGCATGTTGTAGGACTTTTATTAATAATATCCAATTAGAAGTTTACTTTAGCTTATACTCTGGAGTAGAAAAGTCTATGTTGTAATCATCCATCATTCTTATGCAGCTCCACTTAGCTATGTAAAATATTGTCATGACTGCCTCAGCATTCCTGGATTGCCAGTGATTTGTGATATCACTGTAAAAAGAGTAAAAACAGTCCTACTGCCTGGACTATAAATGCAGTATATGATGCATGTGCTACTCTTAAGAAAAACTGAACCTAGGGCCCGGTTCTGCAATCCCTTCTCTACAGGTATGATTTTTCTCTGTGGCTAAAGTTATATGCACAAGCTTTTAGAGGTTCTGCGTATAAGAATTTAGGTATTAAGCCAAATTAGACCACTGGGTCATCCAATCAATTAATAATACGTATTCAACTTTATATTAAAGTAACGGCTGTATTTTCTCTCTAGCTGAGGCTAGTATCAAACTGTCAGAGAAAAGTTCATAAGTGAACATAACAGGAAAATAAGGAATACCTTGTTAGAGTAGTTTTGGGGAAAAATTATTTAAAACGCCACAGTTTTAACTTTTAATCAAAATACTGCTAATAATCTGAGAGTTTAACTGATCTGATCAGGAATTTTATTAGCACAGCTCTGTTACAAAATGACGCCTAATTTTATTAGAAAAGCTTTACCTCTGTGCAGAAAATAATTGGGTAGTCAATATTTGGTGAATGCCCACACATTCTGACTTCCCTCTTGAAAAATGTCCCAGTGCAGATAAGAGATACAAAATATATTGATGATAAAAATAGAATTCATTACTTCTCCTTCCTTTGGGATTTTTAAAAACATTTATTTTTTCCTTTCCCATACCCATAAGTTGCTTTTCTTCCATTTTTTTTACCTATTTAAATCACCGCATTCATAGATTCTTGACTTTTTAAAGCTGAATTAAAAAAAAAAAAAATATTTCTAAAGGAACAACTTCAATTTTGGAATGTTTTCTTTTTGCAAAGATTTGAGTTATACAAAGTGGTCCTAATCTGCTATACAAAACCCAGAGATGTAATCTTTGCAAAGTAGCCACCCACCACAGCAGCTTCATTTAGATTCCAGATACTGCCTGTTTATTATTTATGATACAATAATACCAATGTTCCCCAAACCACAACAGATTCTACCACAAAGGGTAGAATCACATGCCCCAAAGTGATCACACTTTAGACAAGGCTCCGTTCAACAAGGACAAGTGCAAAGCCCTGCACTTAGGATGGAGGAATCCCATGCACTGCTACAGCCTGGGAACCGACTGGCCAAGCAGCAGCTCTGTAGAATATGACGGGGAGGCTCCAGTGGACAATAAGATGGATATGATCCAGCAGTGTGCCCTTGTTGCCAAGACAGCTAACAGCATGTTGAGCTGCATTAGTAGGAGTGTTGCCAGCAGATGGAGGGAAGTAATTATTCTGCTGTATCCTGCACAGATGAGGCCACATCTGGAGTACTGTGTCTAGTTTTGACCCCCCCCTTCCCCCCCTCCTTGACTGCAGAAAGGATGTGGACAAGTTGGAGAGAGTCCAGCGGAGAGCAATGAGGAATGGTTTGAGGGGGGCGGGGGGCGGAGAGGTATATGATTTATGAGGAGAGGCTGAGGGGACTGAGTTTATTTAGTCTGCAGAAGAGAAGACTGAGGGGGGATTTGATAGCAGCCTTTAACTACCTGAAGGGTGGGTCCAAAGAGAATGGAGCTGGACTGTTCTCAGCGATGACAGATGACAGAGCAAGGAGCAACCGTCTCAAGTTCAAGTAAAGGGAGGTTTAAGTTAGATATTAGGAAAAACTTTCTCACTAGGAGGGTGTTGAAGCACTGGAACAGGTTACATAGAGAGGTGGTGGAATCTATCCTTGGAGAATTTTAAAGCCTGTCTTGACAAAGCCCTGGCTGGGATATCTAGTTGGGGCTGGTCCAGTCTGCAGCAAGGGGTTGGACTAGATGACCTCCTGAGGTCCCTTCCAACCCTAAGTTTCTATGATTCTAAGGCAGAAAACACAGGATGGTGGTAGGGAACAGAGGCATAGAAAGCAGAAGGGACTCAAGTCATGGAGGGTTGTAAAGTTCTGCTCTTAAAATGAGACGCACATATTGGTTAACACTGAGAATAAGTGTGGTTCCCATCAACTGTGGTTCTCACACTATGTTCTTATCCTTTTATGAAAATCTTGACTGACCCTCAATTTGGTGACAATGTTTTGAATCCACACTGAACTCAAACAAGCAGCTCAAAAAGTTGAGATTTCTTTAAATTATCATGTCTCTTGTGCCTGCAAAACTGGACTAGAAACTGCTCAGGAACAGACTTTACAGTTTTCTCACACAGCTAGCTGCCAGTGGAAGAACTCAGAAGTCCTGACTCCTGGTCCCATGTTCTTCTCCACAACAACACCAAAGGTTCCATGGTTTCGTGGTACTCGGCAGATCCAGCCATCCTCATGCCTGGACACAGAGCATAAATTTGCAGCTCATCATTGTCTGCAACCCACCATTGTAATGCCTAAGGAGGTGATAGGCTGGGGTGTTTTGCTAAGACAGGGCAGAGTTATGTTTTGTACTGGCAGGAAATGAAAGCATTCCCTCTTCCTAGCATTGGCCATTTGTTGGGTCAGGCAAAGGCAAACCTGGCAGTGCCTTTCAGCAATTCACACTCCGTGAGTTCTGTTCATCACCTAATCCACTGCTTCTGGCCCTACTAATGAGCTTTCTCTCTCTTTCTCTCTCTCTCTCTCCCTCTCTTTCTATCCTGAACAACACACACAGCCAAAACCAGTATTGCAGCCCAAAGACTCCCATTCCGCATCCTGTGAGAAGTTTTCACTGTCATCTGATTCTCCCCCAAGAAAGACTCTTGTACTTCCCTTTAAATCCTAGGTAGGGGAGAGGCAAGTGTTCTTCCATGAGCCAAGGTCTTTGATATGGCTGCCTGAGGTGTACCTGAGAAAGGTGGAATTGAAAAACCTGTATTAGCCCTCTGTGAAAGGAAGAGGGGTTGAGCCTTGAGGATTTTGGATCAGCTATCAGCTAAAGACATGAGCATAAACAAATGGAGTTGTTTCCTGAAAATCCCTCATGCAGCCCAAACTCTTCCATGCAGATCTGAGGATTCAGCTCAAGTGACTTGAGTTGAAAATATGCTGCACTTCTATAGCACCCTGCACATCTATAGCACCCTGTAGGGGACCCTAGAAAGACTTTGCAGATGGTGACCATGGTGATACGATGGTGGCCTGGTAAGTGATATCATTACTTTCACTTTACAGAGGGACAGACTGGAGCAGGGAGGCACTAAGTCCAAGAATTCCAAATGTGGCTTCTAAATTTGGGTGCTTTCCCTTCAAGGCACTAAAGGGAGTGTGATTTCAGGAGTGTGGGGTACCTGTAGCTCTTATAGTGCTTGGAGGGAATGCTGGTTACTCACACCTTCTGAAGATTCAGGGATCTTCAGTTAACGTCACACAAAACTGAGGCAATTGTAAAAATATGGACCTAAGTAACTTGTTCAATATCGTATACTCAGAGGCCAGGAGTAGAACCCCAGAAGTACTCACTTCTCCTGCCGTACTCTACCCATATTCAATTGCAGCATGCTTTAAAGAAAATGGAAAGCTCTGCCTATGATAAGCATTGAGAATCACTCCTAATAAGGTACCTCTGTCTCCTATATCCATTTGACAAGCCCTGCCTTAGATAACAGCGAAACAGATGAGACACAATGAAATATTTTTTGTGCACAACATCAAGTCAAAAACTAACTAAATTCTTCTTGAAAAAAAATAATTCTGGCATTTAGACATCTGCTGCAAGTGTTTGAAAAACTACAGCTGAGTGTTAATTTAAACTTCCTTATAACCCAGCTCAACATTTGGAGTGCAAGCACAGTTAATAGGATGGGAACTGTGTTGATGCTCTGTTGCTTACTATATTGGGAACCAAAGCCAGGAGAAAAAAACTAGCCTGGGACAGGGGGTTTGTTTATATTGTTGACCCATCTGTCTTCATTAACGCACTGTTTACAGGAACCGCTAAAAATCAGCTTCTGTTTCTTTTTTTAGCTGCAATAACAACAAAGAAAGGCAATATGTTTTGTTTGTGCCAAGCTAAAAAATGGAAATTCCTATCAGAACCTCTTGGAAGTTGTTTATTATAGGAAATTTATTGTTGTTGATTATAAGACTTGGGCCTAGTTAGTTCATCCAGAGTTGTATGTTTTCAGGCACAGAGGGGTTTAGGAGGGAGAGGTAGCCCACAGGGCTTATGTTGCCCGAGGTATG